TAATCTTGGTTGTAGGTTTTTCTCCTGCATCACTTTAAATATGTCCAGCCACTCCCTTCTGCTTCCACAGTTTCTGCTGAAAGATCAGCTGTTAACCTTATGGGGATTCCCTTGTGTGTCATTTGTTGTTTTTCCCTTGCTGCTTTTAATATTCTTTCTGTGTATTTAATTTTTGACAGTTTGATTAATATGTGTCTTGGTGTGTTTCTCCTTGATTTATCCTTTATGGCACTCTCTGTGCTTCCTGGACTTGATTAACTATTTCCTTTCCCATATTAGGGAAGTTTTCAACGATAATCTCTTGAAATATTTTCTCAGTCCCTTTTTTTTTCTCTTCTTCTTCTGGGACCCCTATAATTCAAATGTTGGTGTGTTTAATGTTGTCCCAGAGGTCTCTGAGACTGTCCTCAATTCTTTTCATTCTTTTTTCTTTATTCTGCTCTGCAGTAGTTATTTCCACTATTTTATCTTCCAGGTCACTTACCGTTCTTCTGCCTCAGTTATTCTGCTGTTGATCCCTTCTAGAGTATTTTTAATTTCATTTATTGTGTTGTTCATCACTGTTTTTTTGTTCTTTAGTTCTTCTAGGTCCTTCTTAAACGTTTCTTGTATTTTCTCCATTCTATTTCCAAGATTTTGAATCATCTTTACTATCATTATTCTGAAATCTTTTTCAGGTAGACTGCCTATTTCCTCTTCATTTGTTAGGTCTGGTGGGTTTTTATCTTGCTCCTTCATCTTCTGTGTGTTTTTCTGTCTTCTCATTTTGCTTAACTTACTGTGTTTGGGGTCTCCTTTTGCAGGCTGCAGGTTCATAGTTCCTGTTGTTTTTGGTGTCTGTCCCCAGTGGCTAAGGTTGGTTCCATGGGTTGTGTAGGCTTCCTGGTGGAGGGGACTAGTGCATGTGTTCTGGTGGATGAGGCTGGATCTTGTCTTTCTGGTGGGCAGGTCTATGTCTGGTGGTGTGTTTTGGGGTGTCTGTGGACTTATGATTTTAGGCAGCCTCTCTGCTAATGGATGGGGTTTTGTCCCTGTCTTGATAGTTGTTTGGCATAGGGTGTCCAGCACTGTAGCTTGCTGGTTGTTGAGTGGAGCTGGGCCTTGGCATTGAGATGGAGATCTTTGGGAGATTTTTGCCATTTGATATTACATGGAGCTGGGAGGTCTCTTGTGGACCAGTGTCCTGAATTTGGCTCTCCCACCTGAAAGGCACAGCTTTGACGCCTGGCTGGAGCACCAAGAGCCTGTCTTCCACATGGCTCAGAGTAAAAGGGAGAAAAAAAAAAAAGAAAGAAAGAAGAAGATAAAATAAAATAAAATTAGAGTAAAATAAAATAAAGTTATTAAGAAAAATAATTATTAAAAAAATTTTTAAGGTAGTAAAAAAAAGAAAGAAGGAAAGAAGAGAGCAACCAAACCAAAAAACAAATCCACCAATGATAACAAGTGCTAAAAACTATGCTAAAAAAACAAACAAAAAAAGGACAGACAGAACCCTAGGACAAATGGTAAAAGCAAAGCTATACAGACAAAATCTCACACAGAAGCATACACATACACATTCACAAAAAGAGAAAAAGGGAAAAATATATATATATCGTTGTTCCCAAAGTCCACCTCCTCAGTTTGGGATGATTCGTTGTCTATTCAATTATTCAACAGATGCAGGGTACATCAAGTTGATTTTGGAGATTTAATCTGCTGCTCTTGAGGCTGCTGGGAGAGATTTCCCTTTCTCTTCTTTGTTCGCACAGCTCCCGGGGCTCAGCTTTGGATTTGGCCCCGCCTCTGCGAGTAGGTTGCCTGAGGGCGTCTGTTCTTCTCTCAGACAGAATGGGGTTAAAGGAGCAGCTGATTCGGGGGCTCTGGCTCACTCAGGCCAGGGGGAGGCAGGGGTGCAGAGTGCGGGGCGAGCCTGTGGCGGCAGAGGCCGGTGTGACGTTGCACCAGCCTGAGGCGCGCCGTGCGTTCTCCCAGGGAAGTTGTCCCTGGATCACGGGACCCTGGCAGTGGCGAGCTGCACAGGCTCCTGGGAGAAGAGGTGTGGATAGTGACCTGTGCTTGCACACAGGCTTCTTGGTGGTGGCAGCAGCAACCTTAGCGTCTCATGCCCGTCTCTGGGGTCCGTGCTGTTAGCCGCGGCTCGCGCCCGTCTCTGGAACTCCTTTAAGCAGCTATCTTAATCCCCTCTCCTCGCGCACCGGGAAACAAAGAGGGAAGAAAAAGTCTCTTGCCTCTTGGGCAGGTCCAGACCTTTTCCAGGACTTCTTCCCGGCTAGCTGTGGCGCACTAGCCCCTTCAGGCTGTGTTCACGCCGCCAACCCCAGTCCTCTCCCTGCTCTACGACCGAAGCCTGAGCCTCAGCTCCCAGCCCTGCCCACCCCGGTGGGTGAGCAGACAAGCCGCTTGGGCTGGTGAGTGCCAGTCGGCACCGATCCTCTGTGCGGGAATCTCTCCGCTTTGCCCTCCGCACCCCTGTTGTTGTGCCCTCCTCCGCGGCTCCGAAGCTTCCCCCTCCGCCACCCGCAGTCTCCGCCCACGAAGGGGCTTCTAGTGTGTGGAAACCTTTCCTCCTTCACAGCTCCCTCCCACTAGCGTAGGTCCCGTCCCTATTCTTTTGTTTCTGTTTTTTCTTTTTTCTTTTGCCCTACCCAGGTACGTGGGGAGTTTCTTGCCTTTTGGGAGGTCTGAGGTCTTCTGCAGCGTTCAGTAGGTGTTCTGTAGGAGTTGTTTCACATGTAGATGTATTTCTGATGTATCTGTGGGGAGGAAGGTGATCTCCACGTCTTACTCTTCCGCCATCTTGAAGCTCCTCCTAAAACTGTTTAAAAAATAAAAAAAGTTAAGAGAATGAGTAGTGTAAGCTTAACCAGATGGCCTAGAAGGAAGGGACAAGAGATGGTGTTGGGTTGGGGAAAGTGCGATGTTTTTAAGATTGAAGTTGGAAGTAGACAATGATTATGAAAAGGAATTGTTGTGCAAGACCTATGGCCTAGTGGAACTTAAATGGCATGAGCGTGTAGTGGACCAAGTCTTTTTATTTTTCGTTTTTCATCACCCTTCCCATCAGTAATATTTTGTAGACAAGAAAATAGACATAGGTTTCATCAAAAGTTGAGAATTAGTGGAAGACCACAGTGGTAAGGGGATGTGAATGTATTCAAGATGTAAATAGAAAGCAAAGTTAGAAGGTGTTGTTTTTTATATAATACTTCAAACAACATTATAGCAATTTACATGGAGTTATTTGAGTTCCAAAGTGAATAAAATACACTGGATTTCATAGGTTCCTGGATGTGCAGAAGCCAAGATCTCTGGGCTTTGATAGATACTAAACCAGCACTGGCTGAGGCCTGTTAGCCTGCTTAAATGGTGATATCGTTTTCTTAATTGCTACTCTGTGAGTGTCTTTAGAGGAGAATACAAAATGTCTTTGGAGGAAAAAACAATCTTCCCCCATCTATATTTATTCTTTATGTTATAGATTAGGTGATTAAGTGAAAAGATTGTGGTCACTTGTGGTGTCCAAAGTTAAAGAATTTTAGAAGGTAACAGCATCCCAATACACAAACTTTCTTAATATTTTCTTAAGCCACTTTTCTTTAAAAGGCTGTGAACATATATACATGTATGTAGAGCCTACGAATATGTAGCTATCACTAGAGTAGGCAACTTCTTAACAGTGATTTTATTTGCTCCTTTATTCTTTTGATTGTCCTCCAAAGCACTTTCCCATCTGAGAGAAGAAGGGATCAAACCCCTTTTAAAGGGCCTCTTTAAGATGTAGTTATGGGGGCTTCCCTGGTGGCACAGTGGTTGAGAGTCCGCCTGCTGATGCAGGGGACATAGGTTCGTGCCCCGGTCCGGGAAGATCCCACATGCCACGGAGCGGCTGGGCCCGTGAGCCATGGCCGCTGAGCCTACGCGTCTGGAGCCTGTGCTCTGCAACGGGACAGGCCACAACAGTGAGAGGCCCGTGTACCGCAAAAAAAAAAAAAAAAAAAGAGATGTAGATATAGAGTGATATGTAGGTAGACAGATGAATTTAACTCCTCAGGAGTTTAAATTGTAACAGATGCTGAATCAAGCCTCAAGATTTAAACTTGTCTGCTGTATGCATCACAGATACGTATTGATTTACCTGAAATATACTTTCCTCATGGCTATTCAGTGACCTGAATTTTATTGAGTATAATTTGAAAACATTTCTCTCTAAAATCATATAATTACATCAGCAAGATAGCCTTAAAATAGTAGATAGAAACTGAGTTTCGGGAATTCCCGGGCTGTCCAGTGTTTAGGACTCCACGCTTCCACTGCTTCCACTGCTGGGGGCCCTGGTTTGATCCCTGGTCTGGGAACTAAGATCCCGGGCGCGGCCGGGGCAGGGCTTGGTGGGGGGTGGTTGTAGAAACTGAGTTTCAGTAGACGTTAATCTTTTCTCTTTGTTATATCATTGACCATTTTAGAAAACAAAAGAGCTTTATTACAACACAGAATTTTTGTTTTTTACAAAATATTCTACTTTAAACTTTCTAAATTTAGTGTACTTCGGTTTTAAGAAGGGTGTGTTGTGTTTTCATAAGATAAAAAATGGAATCTAATTAATAAGAAATCTTAATATTCTTTAGAAATCATGTGAGTGTATGTGTGTGTGTGTGTGTGTGTGTATGTTTAATTAATACTCTTAGATTAAAAGAGTATTAATTCCGTGGCTCAAGGGTGAAGTTTTACTGATTTATCAGATATGTATAACTTGGACCTTTCTAAACGTGGCCACCTTTATCTGTAAATAACTGAACAGTTCAGTAAACCATTTCCCACTTGTTGACAGATAGTAGTACTGTGGTAGACCTTTAAAAGAAGATATTAAGAACATCTTTAAATTTCTGTCACTTTTCACTTGTTTCTTTATGATGCTTTAAAGTAATATATATCTCACTGAAGTTTTCTGTTTTACTTTGGTACTTGATCTATGTCTTTATTTGCATGTATTCTAGGGTCAGTGATGAAAAGGATGCACGAGGATATCTTCAGGCCTTAGCTTCTAAAATGACTGAAGAATTGGAAGCTTTAAGAAACTCCAGCTTGGGTACCCGAGCAACAGTAAGCTCTGCCATTTAGCAAGCAGGCTTGTTATATTAGTCGGTGGGAAGGCTCAGCAAACACTGTAATAAATCTGAGTACTTACCTCAGTTTGTCTAGGCTTTGCCTACTGTAAAGATTTTCATGAGAAATCATTCAACATTTTTCCAGTTTAGGAAGTTATAATACATAGCTGCTTAACTATAATTTGTGTGGCTAGCCATTAATGGTAATAACCATAAAAAATAAATGCATTTATAATGTGAGTCTACAGTTTTTCTGAATTTAATGAAAAATAATATATTTTCACAAGTAATAGTTCTTTTAAATTCTTTACTTAGGGAAAGATGGTTCTTTTAAGTAGTTTCCAAATTCACTTATATTACTAAACTTAAAATGTTAAAGATAAAATCGAATGGAGCTAAAAACGCAGTCATATTATTTCATAGGATATGCCCTGGAAAATGCGTCGTTTCGCAAAACTGGATATGTCAGCTAGACTGGAGTTGCAGTCAGCTCTGGATGCAGAAATAAGAGCTAAGCAGGCCATCCAAGAAGAGCTGAATAAAGTTAAAGCATCTAACATCATAACAGAATGGTAAGACTGAATAATATAGTCCCACTAGAGTGATTTCTAATTTGGTCCAAAAGTTTCTGGAGAGAAGTTACATGTTTAGTTTCCTACCTGTCTATACCTTTTTTTTTTAAGTGATGACCAGAAAAAAACTATGAATATTTGAAAATGAATTGATGATTTTAGGCCTTGTGTGCAGTGATGCAATTTTAATACAGCTTTGTTTCTGACTTGTCCTTAAAGTGGAATTAATAGTACTAATTAATATTCTGTTATTTGCTTTTCCCCTTATTTGTAAAATTCACTCTCAAATTTTATTCTATTAAATCCAAAATAATCTTTTGTTCAAGAATATCACATTAGTATAAAATTGCATCATAGAGTCAGAACAAACTTATAGTCATATGAAAATTCTGGCCTCTACCATAGGTTTTTTTACAAATGAAGTTTCAAGTGATGGTAAATTTCATAAAGGTAGAATATACTTAAATTATCCTTTCTTTCATGTTATGTATTAAAAAAAGTGTATCCCCCACAGGTCCAGGACAGTTAGCTAATGAATACATTCCCTCCATTCTTATCACAACAGTAGAATAAATCATACTCTGAATAAATAAATGATAAAAGGAAACTCGTAATTGGATTGGTTCAAGAATAAGTTATAGAGGAATAAGGTGATATAGAGGAATAAGGTGATATAGAGGAACAGTAGAAAGTTCATGTTACAAATCAAAATGTAAATAGAAAAATCCATTTGGTGCTCAGAATACCAAATGTTGCAAAGGCATTCAGCATGAAAAGAAATATAGTCCCATAAATTCGGTTTTTAATGGTATGAAGCACCCCAGTTGAATTATAAACTCTTGCTATGAATTATCTAATCATAAATAAAGTATGTTTTACTGAAATGTGCTAGTGTAACATTGAAAAAGGAAAAAAACTGTTTTTCGAGAATATGAATTGATCCCAACATAAAGTCCTGCTAAATGTCATTCTCTGTATTGTAATTTGGAATAAGTGTGATCTTTCTGCTTATGCTTAGGACATATAAATTTACACATTTGTTCATAAATCAGGAATGTGAGTCAAACTGAAAATTACAAGTTTAGTCACTTTCATGGTTCTCTATGAAAGAAGTCTAACAATTCTAAAATTAACCTTTGATTTTATGACATTTTTTAATTTAATAATGTAGCTCAGAGCCAGCAACTTTTCTATAAAAGGAAAGATAATAAATACTTTGGGGCTTGTAAGCCATATAGCTTCTGTCTGCTCAGCTCTGCTGTTGAGTACAAAAGCAGCCATAGACAGCATATAAATGAATGAGCCTGACTGTGTTCCAGTAAATCTTTATTTACGCAAGCGTAGATGACAGGCTAGATTTGTCCTTCCTGTAGTAGTTTTCAGTTCCCTACATTATCATGACTGGCATTTAAACCAATTAACTTCAACTACATACATGATGGCTCACTAACCAACAATATAAATAATGACATTTTTCCTTTTTTTCCCTTAAGTAAACTAAAAGATTCAGAGAAGAAGAACTTGGAACTGCTATCAGAAATTGAACAACTGATAAAGGACACTGAAGAGCTTAGATCTGAAAAGGGTATGGGAATGTGTTTTGCATCAACCAGGACTTAATATTCTGTTATGAATACATTTTATTATACAAGAATCAGCCTACTGTGTAGGCAGGAGAATTGTTCACATACACAATTCTGGCACTCATTTATAGATGTATGTGTGTATGGTGCATGTGCACGCGCGCGCACACACACACACACACACACACACGCACATATTTGGTAGACAAGTCTCCTGAGTCATTTTGTTTTACTTGATACGCATTGTTTAAAGATTTCTTAACAGAAAACTCACTGTGCCATAAATTTGACTGTTTTTTCAGGACCATGGACTATATCATGAAGAATATTTTTGTGATTGGAAAAATTTGTTTTTATCATATACTTTATACTATTCTCAAACATTATAGGGGATTCACTCTCAGGGTAGTTGATGAAATAATGTATGAAATAACTAAAGATTAACCTAATCCAGTGTTAGAAAGACAACTCAGTGACAAAGAATTATTTGGGCATTTCGGTGTCTTCTTCCATGTTTGATACTCAAAGTGCTTGCCCTGTGGGATTTTCCAGGATTTATTCCCATTTTCTTGAAAACATTACTTGAGCATTTTTTCATTAATGTAAAAAGTAACTCAGAGTGCTTGGTAGCTTTATTACATGAACTTCAACGTTCTTTCCATAACATGGGCATTAAGAATGTGAAGATTTAATTTTTTAAAATTCAGAATGTTATTATCTTAATGAAAGGATCTCTTATATATAGTTGTTAAAAATTCATTTTCCTGACAGTATTCCTGACTGAATACTGAACTAGTTAATAGGCTCTATGTTGTACTTATGTGCTGCCTTATCATTTCCCAGTCCTGTGACACACAGTGACGTAAAGCTGGTTGGGTCTCCGCATCTGCTTTTAAAATTGTGGCGGAAAGAGGGTAATCACACAAAGGAGTTAACATGAAAAAGCCATTAAAAGTAGTAGATAAATTTTTGTTGATTGAATTTCCTAGTGAACAAGAAGGAAGGAAGGAACCCAGAAAAAGTGAATTAGGAACTCAGATTAGGAGTAAAAACCATCATGCTAAAATGAGAATCAAGCTTAATTTTCATGTATGAAGAGTGGAAGGAGCTGCGTTATTTAGTGAGTAGAGGAAAAAAAATATATCAGACATGGAGGACCTGTGGCCCTAAAGGCAATTTGTATAGAAAAGAGACCAGTGAAGAGTGTGACTTACTATAACACACCAGTTGGCATTGATTGCATCATTTTAAAGTAGATCTAAACTTGCGAAAGAAGAAATCGTTTATCACATTGCAGGCTAACCTATGGCTATGGTTTTATATTTGGATTTTGAGCCTTGCAGAATAATAAAATTTCACTATATGTTGTAACATAATAGTCTACTTAACTAATACAATGTAATGTTTATATAATGAGGGCAAGGATTTTGTTTTCCTGCTTTATTTACTATTATATATCCAGTATCTAGACAGGGTTTGGCAAATAAAAGGCTCTCAATAAATATTCATTGATGGAATGAATTTCTGAACATACTGCCTTATCTGGCAACTATGGTATATTATTAGAGAGTAATTCAAAAAAACATAATTTGATATCAGTTGATATCAGTTCCTGAAAAGCTATGGAGATCAAAAATGTATATTGGTTGTTTCTCCTTTTCCTCCCTAGTATTTATCATTATGTGTATTTTAAGAATTAATTTGGAAATCATGTATTTAAAGTTAATACCATAGCCAAGAGGTATGAGTGAATTTTTTTTAATTTGCCTGAGAAAAGCTAGGGTTTGGAGTCCTCATTCGCCAACCCTAGTTTTTCTCAGACAAAATTTTTTAATTTCATGCAATTTTTGTCAATAAAACAGTAAATGAAATCAGATTGAGGCCTTAGCAAAAGTTTTTTCATAATTAAATAAGTTTGTTGTATCACTGCATTTTTAAATAAAAGATTATTTATATTAATATATACTATGTGCTTGATGAGAGTATTTCAAAAAGGAAACCTTGTTTGGTGATAAATTACCTTAGAAAAATCAGACGTAACCAGGGTCCTATTTTAAAATTTTTCTCAAGTGTACCAAAAGATTTAATGTGCTTCTTACAGTGTACTGTGTAGGAAAAGAAATTCAGGAACTCAAATAAGTCAAGAAACAAGTATTTCATGGAGTCTGATGTAATTTAACTATTGAGTGATATTCCAAGAAACGTTAATGTATTTTAGTTTTTTAAGTATGTGGAGTTAATGATATTAATTGGTTTTAAAATACAGTAGTTTGTGAGCAGCTTTTTAATAGATTCAGACAGGAAAGGTTATCCGTGAAAATTAGTTTTAATTGTTCTAGTTTTAAAAAAAGTTGCTGCTGTCTTCTAGGTATAGAGCACCAAGACTCACAGCATTCTTTCTTGGCATTTTTGAATACGCCTACCGATGCTCTGGATCAATTTGAAGTAAGTATTAAACTTTTCATGTATCCTCTGCAGTCAATTTAAAATTTACTTTGTGATTTAAAATTTATTTGCAATAAAACCTTTATTGCATCCCATATAAGAGGGCCTAGAATCTTATATAAACAAAAATGTATTAGGAAAGGAATATGTTCTGCAATGTTATGGAAACTTTAATCATAAACTTTTCTGTGTTTAAGAAAAATCTAAGAAAGATCTAAATAAGAGGGTCGTTGATAAGATTTAAAAGAAATTTCATCTTTTTCCCTGAGGAACAGTAAGTGCAGAACAAATCCTGACTTTAAATAATTTTGACACTTCTCTTTTTTCTCCAAAGCATAGAGCCATAGTAAAAAACAAGTGAAAATTTCAGAGCTCACAATAGGGCAGTGCTGGTTCTAGTTCCAAATCAATTCAGTTTTTTAGAAGTATACCAAAAGAATGCTTTTTGTTAAAAGTATTACATAGACTTTATTTGGCACACTCCATTATAATGAAATAGTGATTATATGACTCTGTCATTCTTTGGTACTTAAATTCTTTGCTAGAAAAAAAAATTAAGATATGAAGTATATTTTTATGTCAGAAAACTTAAGTTAGTGATTATATCTTAATCAACAAATAATCGTATGTCTTTGTGCAAGGCACTGTTCTAGGTGCTGGAGATACAGTAGTGACCAAATCGACAAAGTCCTGCCCCTCAAGAAGCTTACATTCTAGCAGGAACGATTAGAGGCAGAGATTCTGTTGCTTACTTTTAGTTGTTACCTTCTGGAGTGCTTCCATTTAATTTGATTATTAATGAGCTTCAGCTTAATACATTTTGAGCACAGTATATGAATTGTATTTCATTCTTTTGGGAAAGGAAAACCGAATCACTCTTTAAAAAGTAATTAATGAATTTCTACGTTTCTTGAGAAACAATGACAGTGACTGCTTTTCTCATTTATTTATTTGAATTAATGTCATTTGCCTTTCAATTGTTTTACAAAATTTTTGATTTATTATTTGTTCTTATTAAATTGCTTCATCCATTTTTTCTATTTTTTTATTGCTGTATTCGTTAAATAGGATTCCTTTTCTTCTTCCTCATCTTCACTGATTGATTTTTTGGATGACGTAAGTCTTTGATTTTCAAACCAATGCATCCTTCAGTAAAAGAGATCAGTGAATTGATATGAAGAATTTACGTAGTAATGCAGTCAGTTTTAGAAATATCACACTTGATAATTTGTGACCCAAAATGTGCTTCTTTCTTACTTTAAATACAATGAAGAGTTATCATTATTAAATATAATAAAGTAAACATGTACTTTTAAAAATGTGTTGTCCATCAGAGAATCTCTATAGTTCCAATCTTTGCAACAATTCTGAAGACTGGAATGCGTATTTGATTATCGTCACTATAGATATATAGATATAAATAATTGCTCATTTTTGTTTTTAATGGCAATTTCTATTTCACATTCCCCTTTTCTTTTCAGCACTTTACTATTTAGTTTATATGTTAGTTAAAAGTAAACCTCTGGTGGTAGAATCAGAACAAGTGACACGTTTTATTAACTCTTCCAGTAGGTTTTATCATGACACAATAATTGAGTACAGATCAATTTTTAATGCTGACAGAATTTCTCTTCTAATGTAAAAAATGATTTTTGTTAATATATGCACTATATTCACTATAAATTGACTGCATTATCATTTTCTCTCTTAAATTAATTGTATAGATTTATTAATTTAGAAGTTCCTAATGTATAGTGTTCCTCTCTTTACAGAAATACCTGACATATACATTCTCTCTAATCCACATTAAATGGCACAATAATTCTTGTTGTAAAGCATTGTATTATCCTGTTGAACATTCTATCTTTACAGAAATTTGGAAATAAAATGGGTTCAAATGCAAATATTGTGCATATAACTATTTTTAAACCAGGGGAAATTCTTTAAATGTTTTATTTTTGTGTTTTGTTAACTATAATTCTTATATTGAGGAGAGTATTAAGCATAATTTTCTACTAAAGAAAACTCCTGATCTATATTTTTAAGTGATTTTTTATTTCTTTGAAATATTTATACCAAAGTGTGCACCTTTCCATTCTAAATGGAAACTATTTTTTCTTGAGACAAATAATTAAACTAGCTAATTCTGCAGTGTGATAAAAAGAGAACTCTTGATGTACAATAATATTTGATGTTATAATCTGATGTATATTTTACTATTCTAAAATACTCAGTATGGTATTTCCATACAGATAACATTCACTTTAAAAAGAATGGGAAGGAAGTTTGAACAAATATTTTAGTTGTCCTTTCTCCTAGAAGACCATTTTCATTTTTCTTTCTAATAAACTCTTCTCCACATCCCTTTTTCTCCCACAAAAATCTCTGAATGTACAACACAGGAGTAGTATGTATTTTGGTAAATAGGTTAGCTCTTCTCAGCAGAAGCACATCTCAGCCCACTCCTATCTCATCTCTGCTCTCATATGCTGTCTTCTGCCACCACCCAGCTATAGTGTCTGTTTCCCACTTTTACTTTTCCTCTAGAAGTACCCTTTCTTACCCTTCACCCACTATTACCCAGTATAGATACAGTTCAGACATACGTGTAAATTGTAAAGTAGTACAAAGGAACTCCTATTATAAAGTAAACCAGAACTAAGTTCACAGAGGCTGCTGGATCTTTATGATTCAGGCTCAATTTCACTTAAGTACTTCCTTAGCTCTTCACCACTCAGCCTTCCGCTTACCACCAATGTGCATCATTATACTTTCCTCCTGTTGAATCACGTTACCACTGGAAATGATTTTTACGTGTCAGGGCAAAGGCCAGCAGTAACCTCCCATTTAAAAAAATATTTTGTATTCTTAATTCATATTTTATGGCATAAACCTCTTATTTCTCTTCATAGTTTGTAACTGGGACCACCCTTCCCAGCATCATCATCCGTTTCACCCTCAAAGTCATAATAGAATGTTATTTTGAATAATGGTATTCAATCTTTGGCATGCTTGGGTTCAGCATCCAAGATACGTAGCATAAAACTCAAGTTCTGTAGCTTCCTTTCTCTTAGGCATGTGGATTCTTAAGGATTAAAATAAATCTTGATTGTTCTTTGTGCCCAAACTAGTTACGTTGTTGTGCATGATGTTTAAAATATGTGACTGTGCTCTATACTAAGTAGACTCTATCTCTTAACTAATCCATAGGACACATCCTCTGCTCATTCTTTTCGGTTTTCAATCTCATCGCTATAGAAAAGAAAAAGATTATGTTGAAGACCTAAAATTGAATTGCAGTGAAATTTGTAGGTATAGGAGGGAATAAGGTTAGTTTTAAGCAGAATTGCACAAATGAAGTTTTCTTTTGTGCCCACACATCACTGACCTTCTCCATCTGCCCCCAGTAACCTAGTGCCCTCATACTGCCCTCAGATTCTCCAGAGCTTTATCACCAGTGCCGCCCCTCTCCCAAAATTACCTTCTAGTTTTTTCCTTAACCCTCCCACACAGGCCTATTAAAACTATAATTCTTTTACTTAAATAGTACACCTAATCACTCTCCTACCTCTGAGTTTTCCTCACTATGTTTTGCCTGTTATTCAAAATTCAGATGAATGCTAGGATTTGGGGCAATATGGGAAGACGTTCGGAACAAGATGCTTTCCTTTTAAGATACGCTGTTTAGACAACTCTTGACAGAAGAGAAAGAGTATATGTAACACCAGTCCCTCCTTCCCTCTGACTCAGGCACAGCAGAATACATTCTCAACATTCTGCTTCTGTAACTCAGCGTTTGCAGTTCCACATGTAGAATAATAGACTTTTCAAGGAGAAGAGAACCTTAGAAGATCTTTAGTCCAGTGGTTTTAGTAATTATTTACCACAGCACTCCCACTAGTAGATAGGTTACTCTCCCATTAGTGAGAGTGACATTTTAGGATTCTCAGTCTTTGGAGTAATAGGGAAGTGTTGACAAAAGGGTTACGTGGCATTCTTTAGGGCAGATAAAAGGGGGTGGGGGCTGAGTTAATTTTGAAAGAAACTGAGACCATTTTGCTTAGTGGTCCCTTGGGTAAGGCACTCCCATATGAGTTACTGAGATAGCAGTTGAACAGATACCAGGATCCTTTCTGCTGTGGAAATGATTTCCTCTTTTACCCTTATCTTTCTTCTCAACCCCACGTGCCCAATCCTAGACTGCCTGTGATACTGCATATTAGGCCCAGCGTCATCCTGCAGGTTACAGACGGGGGGAGCAAATGGAGCTCAGCAGCTTAAGTTTTCTCTCATCTGTTCCCTTCATTCCCATGGTAGCAGATCCAGGGATCATCAGACTAAGCTTACAGGAACTTCCCATTCTGTTGAGTTCATTTTCTCCTTCTCAAGTGAACCCCCAAAATGCTTGACTATATTCAAGGAATACTAGTTATAGTTATATAACTGAATGAGTTGCTGTTTATATTTGATAAATATATTGTCATATATATGAAACACATGCTAGGTAAGTTTTGAGTTTTATTAAATTACAGTTCTGTACTCTGTTCATTTAGCCTGAGTTCACGAAAATGGAATTTGCCCATTTATCTGGCAAATGCGAACGTGTCAGCTTGCTTTTTGGAGGTTGTCTTACTCTAGTGAACTGAGGAAAAGAGTAAATCAAGGAGTTAAAGCTCTAGAGTATAAAGGTCAGACGTAAAGGAATAGAGATCGTACCTTTAGTCCGACTGTCCAGTACTCCTAATGTCGTGTTCTTTTCTTGCATTCTGGCATATCAAGAGGAGAGTAGCCTGGGCGTATTGGCAAGCTGAGTTCTACTCTTGGTTTTGGCCTCATATAGAAGCTTACTAAGATGTCCCAAAATATTTAATTTCAGTCCTGGCTCCTAGGTTCCTTCATTTATGTCTTGCCTTTAACATTGTTCTCCCTCCTAGGTTCTTCCATATTCTGTCATAACCAATCACAGAAATCGGGGCTTGGCAGCATAGGTTTAGCTGTAT